TGGAGACATGCGAGTGGGGGTATCCTATACAATGAGTTTGTATAAGACCGGACCACAAAATAGCCAATGTTTGATTAAAATATTCTGTCCCTTTATCTGTGCGAAGAATTTTGATTCTCGTATTGAATTGATTATGAATGAGGGAATGAAACTGTTGAAAGATTGATTCAACTTATGATTTTTCTTTAAGTAAATAGACCCAACAAACTCTAATATGGTCATCAGTGAAGGTAAGGAACCAACGTTTACCAGACATAGTTTTGATACGAGATTACTCCCATAAATCACTATGAATCATTGTGAATGGAGTGGATGGTATATACTCAACAGCGAGATAAGATGTACGAGAGTGTTTTGCAAGTTGACACGCTTCAAGTAAAAGGATCGTCTCTATGGAAAAAGAGAAGGATACAAATGTTTAACATACTGAAAACTCGGGTGCCCTAAACGGCGATGTAAAAGTAGAATTTGTTGTTCTCTAGAAGTTGACTCATCACCAACTTTGAGAACTTGTTTATTTCTTAGACTTGGTTCTCTGAAGTAGTAGATCCCTTCAAAGCCATCATCAATGTCAGTCGTCGTTCCTGTTATCAAGTCCTGAAACAAACACTTAGAGTTATTGAACACAGGGCCTGACACTTTAAATCATGAGTCAACTTTTGAATAGAAACTAGATTGCAACATAATTTAGGTACATGGAGCATTGAGTGCAATGTAATATTCGGGCTAAGAACAATAGAACCAAAGCCCTGAATAATTACCAATGACTCATCTGCAAGCTTGACATGTGTCTGAATCAGGTTCGGTGAGTACATGGTAAACATATCATGAAAAATGGTCACATGAATAGTCGCACCCGAATCTAAGATCCACTGATCGGTATGATGCTGACTTGTTAAAGTTGCACTAAAAATACCTCGTTGTGCCATGAAACTTGACAAAAGAGTGACTCAACTGGCAACGTTAAAACATAATAAAGCTGTTCAAGTTGTGCCTTTGAAAATGGAGGGAGAGAGGTGGTCAAATCATGGGAGTTTGACACACTAGGGCCCACCTAATAGCTAGAGGAGCTGGTTCGAGAAGGTGGAGTATTTGTGGTTGGCTTTCATTGGGACGACCATGGAGTTCCCAACACCGATCTTTTATATGGTTTGTGCGCTTATAGTAATCACACCATAGGTTGTTTCGATGAGTAGACTGGGATGGAGGTGGTGGTAGGCCTCACACTGCCAGAGCTAATGATTCCAACGAGAAAGACGTAGGTCTTGCATGTGTATCACCCATCATCACACGTTTGCGGCTTGACTCCCAGTTGCGAAGATTTCGTGGATAGTTGGGATGGTTTTGAGGCAAGTAAGCAGTCGTGCACATCATCTAATTCCAGACAAAGACCTACAAGAAAATCATAGATTCATTCTTTCTCGACATGTTTTCAGAAGCGTTCAACATCCATCGAGTTTACCCCTAAAAGATTGAGACATATATCAAATTCAGCCCACAACCGACGTAATGAGTTGTAGTATTAGGTGACATTGGATTCATCTTGTCGTAGGGAGCGTGCCTTGTTGCGTAATTCGAACAACTGAGCCGAGTTATCAGAAAAAAAATCCTTAGTGAGTGCATTCGAGAGATTCTTCATCGTTCAATAGAGGAGGAATGATTCTTTAATGCCATGACCAGTTTTGAGCATCCCATACGAAAAAATAAGGGTCGGCTTCATATGGTTTTGCTATCGTGTCGTTGATGTGCCCAGTACGCTTTAGTCGTGGATAACTAGGAGGGTCGATCGAGACCATTGCAGAAAATTTTTCCCATTGAGTTTTTGAGAGGTAACTTGGAGCGAAGTGTTTTCAGAGAGAGAGAAATGTGAGGTATCGTGAACGTACTTGCAAGGAGAGAAATTGAGGTCTTATTCGATACTTCACAATTCTCATCCTTACGCACATTAGTCATCCTGGTTGTTTTAAACATTATGGTGTCAATCTAAACCTAGCTCTGATACCATATAAATTAAGGATAGAGACACAAGAGAGACATACACGAGTAGAGAGAGAATAAATAAATTATTTATTTCCCAAATTGATGATCCAAGATGAGGAATAAAGACACTATACATAGGTTATAAGAGGAAACAAAATCTAGGAATAACCTTCTAACTTCCCTAACAAAAACAGATATTTATTTGCTAAATTTAAACAAACAACCTAAACAATTTTTAAAACAACTTCTAACTAAGTCCACACATTCTAAACTTCTAACTAATTCAATATTTATTTGCTAAATTTAAACAAACAACATAAACAATTTTTAAAACAACTTCTAACTAAGTCCACACATTCTAAACTTCTAACTAATTCAACAGGGCTTAACAAGTATTTATAACAAATACAATAGAAAATAACAGAAAGTAACTGCTTACAAAGTCAAATAACCAAAACAGAAATGGTAACCGAAATTAAAATATATATAACCAATATTATAAAGTGTGACGTCATTAATTTAAATATATGAGAAAATTATATTTGGGACCAATCACAAATATACATGTGTCCACAAATTAATTTTGAAATCGACAAATTAAATTATGACATGTATCTTTCTTATGACCGTCCGATAACATTAGCCCATGTGGAGATTGAATTTAAAGCTAAGATGATTCATAATCTTCTACGAGCATACAGAAGGAAGAATTTAAAAGACTCATAAAACACAAAAGACTCTGTGAAGATTTGAAGACTCGAAGAATCAAAGATTACGAGACTTCAAGAATTAAATCTTCTCTTTGTCGTCAATAAGCCAAAGATCTTCAATAAGCTCAAAACTAAAGTCTTAAAAAACTCTTCCGCAAGCTTCAAGGCAGATAACTTCATCAAAGATACAAACAGAAGAACTTCATCAGGTTGCATAGCTGAAGAGCTTTATTAAGCACAAGCCGAAGAACTTCATCAAACTACAAGCTGAAGAACTACATCAAGCTCCAKAGTCGAAGAGCTTCAACAAGCCAAAAAACTTCATCAACAAGTCGAAGATCTTCAACAAGCTCAAAGCCAAAAACTTCAAAGATTCTTCAACAGCTAGAACTATTGCATCAGACATCGAATTCTATCTTGAACTCCTTATTAAGTCTGAGCTTATACTGACTTGAACGTCAAAGTGTTTGCCTGTCTTGTGTAGGTCATTCTTTAACTTGGCACGTTAGCTATTCCACCTATCATATCTTTACCAGGTCAAACCTTATTCTGTTTTACGCATAAACAAACATGATAGCTGTTGGTTTACTTTTTAAATTTTAAAAAAGTTCAATTATGCCTCTCACCTTCAAGTTTGGTTATAAATTTATAATAAATTTTTGTCGTTAACATATTTACTTAAGTATTAATATGATCCATTGACTCGACCTATAAATTAAAATTTTAACCACAAGAGAGTAGACTAGTTAGATAAAGTAATGGTAGGTAGAGTTAAAAAAATTAAAAATTAGAAGAGGAGGTGGATGAAATCAATTTGAAACAAAATCTTTTTAGTTTACTTTCCTTTAATTTGTCAAACTAGCATACTCACCGACATTGTCACGTTAAGTGAAATCATTATTCGTTAATTCAATTAACATATCTCGATGTTAAGAGTAAATACTTCATTAGACAAAAATGGAAGTTTAGAAACACAATTGCCTTTAAAATTTATATAACTAAATCAGTACACAATTCTAAAAATTTTATTTTTAGCCGGGGTTTAAAATGTTGAGAGACATGTCGACATGTCTTTTTTTTTTCCTCTTCTTCTTTAAGGTTATTTTATTTTCATCCTCTTCTTACTATGCCACTACAGTCTATAATTTCTCACAATCTCGATGATCGTAATCTTAGTCTGTTCAATGAAACATTCGAATTTTAATACTGTATAAAGTATAACTAATAAGATTTGGAATTTGCTTTATAGATAATTTCTAATCCAATCTAGTCCTTACTTATACAATTGAACAATATATGTGAAATGTTGACATATATAAAGATTGAAATAATCTTAGAATTTTTAAAAAATAAAATATTATTATATACAAATAGTGGTGAAACATAAAGTAGAATAGGTAACTTAATTAATACCAAAAAGATGATCTTGGAGGATCTAGTGCACTATCTTGATAACTTTGATATAAATTACAATAGTTTTCCCTGGCCATCATAGACTGAAAGTTTTGAAGGTAGTTGCTCAAATGAGTAGAATATGAAGTACATATGGATCCTATTGGTAGATAATTTGGAAAAATGACACAATCACGAGGTTGAGGTGTTTGAAAATTGTGTAAATTTGATTGGAAAGTTGGATTGATGATTGATTTGAAAATATCTTTGAAAAATGGGTAAATTCAAATTTGAAAAGAGAAGTAGGTAAAAAGTAAACAGGTACGAGTTAATTAGAATTTAGAAATGTGTTTGGAAACCAAGTCGGTAATTATCTCATTTACAAATGAATCCTATTATGAAAAACACTAAAGAAGTAGTCAAAAGTTTACAATGCATCAATCTTCATTAAAGGAAAAAATCTTTTTTCGATATTTCCATCGACATCGACATTGACATTTTCATAACTAAAATTGTCATATTCTTACAATTAATGATTAAAAGTGATCATGTTAATTAAGCTACAATTCAAGTTTTATTTGCTAATTAAAAAAATTTCCATCAATTTCCACAATTTCCATTATTTTTCTCGAAATATCCATCGACATCGACATGTCCATAAAATCGGGACCTCGACATTTTCTTCGACATCGACATTTTGAACACTGTTTTTAGCTACTAAATTTATAATTTAATTTTTTCAAAATTTTTGTTGAGTTTGCTTGTACTATTTGTTTAAATAAAGTAAAAAAAAAAAAAAAGTTTGAGAAGGTAAACGTTTTGTGTCCGCTCCATATGAAGAAAGAGTCTCATTCACACTGTCGTGTAAAACACGCGCGCAAACTTCCAGTTATGGCATCGAATCAAGCGCTTGTCACTCTACTCGACAATGGCGGACGCCTGATTTCTTTCCACTTCTTAAATACTGCTTCATCTCTCTCTCCTCATTCTCCACTTCCCGGCTTCTGCGCTCTCCTCCTCGCTTCCCTTGTCTTCCCCTCGGCGCCACCATGGGAGACGCTCCTGATTCTGGAATGGACGCCGTCCAGAAGCGCCTCATGTTCGAGGACGAGTGCGTCTTCTCCTCCCTCTCTCTCTCTCTGATTCTGATTCTAATGGTGTCTTTTGTTTCATTTCTGCTTTTGACTTCCACTTTTTGCGTGATTCTGTTGTTGATTGACCCGTTCTTCCTTGCCTCTGCTCTGACTTTCTTGTTTCGTGTTTCTTTTTCTTTTCTGGTGGAACTTGAAAGCAGTGTTTGTATTGGGGAGGCAGTAGATTTGGGTTTCGATTTGGTTTTCGATTTGGTTTTCTGATGAATTGATATGCTTAATTTGAATGTCCGTGGCGCTATTAGGAACTCTACTCGTCAATTTGTGTAACACGATGCTTGAATTTGAGTAATGATTGTATCTGAGAGTTCTAGAGGTGTACTGTTTGCTGTCGAATATTACGAACTAACTCAATTTAATGGTCTTCTGAGTTCTGACTGACCCTCTCTCTTGTGATAGTGATTCTGATGTTGTCTTCCGTTTCATTTCTTCGTTTTTTTAACGGTTTTTGTGCATTGTTGCTTCTTTTGACTTCGATTTTTTTACGCTATCTGGGAGGGAAGGACTGAAATCTGGGCCTTCTGTTTCCTGGAAGACAACGGAAAGTTGTTCATCAGGTGTTTCCAACCAGTTGAATTGGGTTTTATTTGGGATTCTTGATGATTTTATTGCTGAATTAGGAGGCATTCTCGTCAATTTTTACAATAAAATGTCTGAATTTCAATAATTACCATGTCCCAGAGTCCAGACTTTATGGTTTTCATTTTTGTTGCTTTTGACTTTAATTTTTACCTAATCCAGTAATTCTATTGTTGACTGTTCCTTTTCTTTTTCTTCCCTCTGCTTTGATTTTCTTGTTCTCTTCTCTGTTTGTTGGTGGAAGCATTATTTGAATGGCGAAGGAGTTGAATCTAAGCCTCATTTCCAAGAAAAGGGAAGGAAAAGTTGTTGTTGAGGTGTTTCAAACCAGTTGAATTGAGTTTCATTTGAGATTCCTGATGATTTGATGTTAAACTTTGTTTCTTTTGGAATTATTAACATCTGTGGCTGAATTAGGAGCCGTTCTTGTCAATTTATACAATGTGATGTTTGACTTCGAACAGTGGTCATGTCTAAGACTTTTGAAGGTGTTTGATGTTAATTATTGCAAATAAGCTCAATTTAGTGGTCTTCTAAACAACCCTTGTAGATTTAATTATCTAATTTCTTCTTGTATGTGCACTTGATTTTAATTTGATTATTATCTAATTTCTTCTTGTATGTGCACTTGATTTTAATTTGATTCAGTTGAGACCTCTTAATCTGCAACAATGGAAGAAATGAATTGCAGGAATTTAAGTTTTAGATCTTGTTCTCTGTTTCTGAAAGCTATGATAAAGTTGACTATGGAATATATTTTCAGCATTGTATGTTTCTGTTTGGATGAATTTGATCACCATCATTTTTTTTTCTTCTTCCTCTCATTTTTATGTGATTTTTAGTGCTCATAGTTTTCAACTTTTCGTTGATCGTGAGCGAAGCTCTACCATTCTTTTGGGTTCTCTCTCTCGATCATTAAGCCTTGGGTTCACTGGATTACAATTACTATTGCCCTAAAATATCTTGTGTACTCATTTGCTCAAGTTTGATATTTTTGGTTGGGGTGTTCATTATTATTTTTTTTCCTTGAAGAATTTTCTGTTGATGCCTTCATTTCTATTAGAAACCTTTAAGTTAAATCGTGCTTCCTCTGTTGTTTGTGACTCACATTCGCCTTCGATCTCCAATTGCTGGACAGGTGCATTTTAGTTGACGAGAATGATCGTGTTGTTGGTCATGAATCAAAGTATAATTGTAAGTCAAATCTTTCTTGGTCTTGATTACTTATGCAAAGTTTTACGACATTGCTATTTGGTATGGTTTTAGTTTAGAACTCGTGTTTCCTTCCACGGTTTTGAGTCTGGGATAGATTGCTAACGCATGGAGTATTTAAATTTGTTCTTATGATTTGCAGGTCACTTGATGGAAAATATCGAATCCAAAAACTGGCTGCATCGAGCTTTTAGCGTCTTTTTATTCAACTCCAAATATGAATTGCTTCTTCAGGTATGTTATTTAGGCTGGGTACCGATTCACAGAAGCTCATTGTTTGTATGATATTTGCTTGGTGATGATCTAGATTGACCATCTTTGCCTATATCTACCAATTTTTTTTTTATTCAAACTTACTACGGTTCTATGGAAAGAATTTTGAAGTTTGTTATAGTCTATATATTTTTCTTTTTACGACGTCTTTGACAGATTAGAACAACTGTTTTCATGTTGCAGATGGTTTTCAAGCTTTCTTGTTCATCATGGTGTTTTTGTTTAATTTGTCTTATCTAAAGTTTTGTTAACATGCTTAATTCTGTATTATCTCTGAAGCAACGATCTGCGACAAAGGTGACGTTTCCGCTTGTGTGGACGAACACTTGCTGCAGCCACCCATTGTATAGAGAATCTGAACTAATTGAAGAGAATGCCCTTGGTATATCCATAACAGCTCTCAGAATCTGCCTACTCCATTTGTGAACCTTCTGATATGAATCTTCTTCTTCCCTTATTCAATAATCAACCAGGTGCAAGGAATGCTGCACAGAGGAAGCTTTTGGACGAACTCGGTATTCCTGCCGAAGATGTCCCAGTCGACCAGTTCACCCCCCTCGGTCGTATGCTATACAAGGCCCCCTCTGATGGCAAATGGGGCGAGCACGAATGTACTCTCTCTAACTCATTTGTTTATTAGTTAACATCAAGTTACATCTGTTCTAGTAATCACCGATTAGATTTATTGTAACCCATATGCTTAAGATTTTGGGTTCGGTGGTGATGTCTCATTTTTTGTCCTTTTGGATTTAGTGGTAAATTGATACATATCGTCTTCTTTTTTGTGCAGTGGATTATCTGTTGTTCATTGTGCGAGATGTGAATGTGAACCCGAACCCAGACGAGGTGGCGGATGTGAAGTACGTGAACAAGGAGGAGTTGAAGGAGCTGCTGAGAAAAGCAGATGCCGGAGAAGAAGGGCTGAAGCTATCACCATGGTTCAGGCTTGTTGTGGACAATTTTCTGTTCAAATGGTGGGATCATGTGGAGAAGGGAACTCTCAAGGAAGCTGCTGACATGGAAACTATTCACAAGTTGACTTGAAAAAAAAAAAAAAAAATCCCATCCTTATTTGGGTGAACAAATCCCTTCTTTGTGTTAGTTTCTGAAACCCTGTCTTTGTCTCAGCTTAAATTTCCAATAATATCTGGACTTTTTATGGTTATTTGTTTTTGTTGAGTCTTCCACAGGAACTTTTTTCATTGGATTATGATTTTGTTTTTAATATTTTATTTTGGGAGTGGCTTGTAAATTATCTTTCTTTTGTTTTTGTTTTGAATTTTAGAAGGTGGTTTTGAAATATTAGCCAAAAAGTTTCATGATAGATGGGAGGAAGCTTTTTTGCCCAACTCAATCCCGATAAGTTGAAGCCAAAGTTTGCTCTTAGTCTTGTATGAGCTGAGCCCCTTGAAAGCTTGATAGGAAGAAGAAAGGAAGGAGGAGGGGAGGGGCTGTCTTAGAGAATGGAGTGATTTTAGAAATAGAAACTGGTTGAGAGAGAGGACCCATATATATATTAAAAGCCGAAATGATTATTTCTAATTTTTTTTTTTGGTTGAAATTTTCAAGAAATATCAACGCGCATTGACATTTTAGCGATATTTTCATTAATAATTTCATAAAATTGAGATACCAAATGTGTTTATAAACTACAAAATCTAAATTTTTAGATAATAAAAATCAATACTTAATTTTGATGAGATTTTTCACGGTAGAAACTAAATTATTACATTTTAAATTAAGGGACTAAATTATTAGATATGAAAGGTCATAGATTAAATCGTTAATTCAATAAAATTATTGAACAAAAAAATATTTTTTAACCTCAGTCCTATTAATAGAATCTTCATTGAGTCAAGAACTAAGCATTCTTCTTCATACTTTACTTCATTAGAGATATTTGGGTTTTAAAAATTGGAAAGGTTTCTCAAAACCATAGATGAAGCAAAGATTTTGGGTATCTTTCATACGGAAAAAAAGAGTAAAGAATTTATCATAGAGAGATACACATCATTTTAATGGAGCAAGTCATATGGAGTTTGTATAATAAATTGTTTTGGTAGATTTAGTGTATTTTGTTTAATTTAACCAAAAAAACTAAAAATAATAATATTGACAAACAATTTTGGGACCAATTGCCTTGATTTCAACTTAAAGATTAAATGATGCTTCTTGGATGAAAAGACATGGATAGCATTCCTATAACATCTCTTATCTCCATGGTCCAATCATAAAAATTTCCAACTTGGAGCACCTAAAATACGATAAAATTTATTGAACTTATATGATTTGTGTTAGGACACCCACTAATGGACCGTTTGTTTTGTGAGAATCAAAAATTTTCATATGACGAACGTCTGCATTCCTTTTTTTCTTGCAGTAATGTAGGATATCCGAGCATTTCAAGATGGTCAGATATCTTAGGATGCCCATAGGAGAGATATTTGAATTGTTTTGGATGTCCTTTTGAGACATGAGTTTTTGAGATTCCCATGTTGAGGGCATCCTCTATTTACATTTTTTTGCCTTCATTCTTTTTCATATATTTTCTTTTATAAGTTTTCCTTTTTTTTACTTTTAATTTTATAATTTAATAAATTAATGTCCCCATGGACTAATAAATAATATGCAATTAAATAGATTTATATATTAAATTTATATATAAAATAAACTTCAATCAAATTATATAATATCTTCATATATTTTTAATATTTGAAAGAAATTGTTATCAATTATATTTATTATCTTAAATATATAATTTTAAAGCAACATTGTTTTTTAACGACCAACATATATTTGATATTTTTCTTCTAAAAAAATATAATGTGATAATATAATAAATACATTTCACCTAGATAACATTAATTATATAATTGTATTTTTTGAAAAATATTAAAGTTGAAAATTAAATTTATATTTAATATTAACTATTTTTTTTAAAAAAATCTTATATTAATATGAATTCTACACAATAACCTAAAAAAATTAATATATACCGAACTAATATAAAAAAAACAAAATATTACATTAATATAAACAAATTTATTATATAAACACAAATTATATTAAATTAATGTATAAATTATATGATATTCATAAGAACATTTTTTTGCATTATATAAATTAGAACATTCTCAAGAATAAATCATGTTTTATGGGAAACGAAACTAGACCCGATAGTCGAACAATATCATAGGTCAAAAGCCCAAAGCATGACTAGATTTAGGGTGTGACCAAATCCAAGCCCAAAGCATGACAAGATCTAGGGTGTGACCAGGTCCAAGACCCAAAACATGACCAGGTGTAGATACCAAGCATAGAGGCCAAAGCTGAACGCGTGAGGACCAACGACTCGAATCGGTCGAAGTCGACCAATTCTCAGCCCGATGTGGTCTCTCTAATGGTTCTGCAAAGGTAGGCCCGAACCTGTCCTGTCTTGGTGAAATCCCATAATGGGCGAACAACTCCTCCATTCGACATCGAAGTGTTTAAGCCCAAAAGACTAGGTTTCTTTAAAGCATAAGGATTCAACCTCTATAAATAGAAGGGTAGGCTCAACCTTAAAGGTTCGCTGAATAACCCTACTTTCAATACTCAACCACTTTTGATTCTAACTTATGCATCGGAGACTGTGTGGTTAGCACCACACCAGCATTCAGTGTTATTTGTGCAAGTCAACGTCTGGTCCTGTTTCATTACAAAGAAGTTGTGCGAGTTTGGTGAGATCTCGAAGTGTCAAATTTCTGCATCAACATCCTACAAAACAAACATAATCTAAATATTAGTAGATATCTTTATAAATTTTCCTACCAAATAAACGTTGTATCTAAAGATATCAGACATCTAACATTCCAGACATCTGAAATTTCAAGCATCTAAAGATGTCGGACATCTACATTCTAAACAAACTTGATGCGGCGGAGATGATGCAGTGAAGGTTTAGTTTTCCTCACGTGAAGTAAAATATCTCATGTATATATGCCACTAGGTTATTTAATAATTGAATTTTGTACTTCTATTGTTTACTAGGGTAAAAGTAAGAAGGGTGTCTTCAAGCAAAGGAATGGAGTTTGAGGGGAGTAGGCTTCTTAAGCCCACCCCACTTCAACCTCTAGATACATTAAGGAGATAATGTCTTCGATGGATCATTTTGGAAACTTATTTTCACAAATGTCCAATGTTTACATATTTTACAGTTTTATATTTCTAGATTAAAAATTTTTCCTAAATACCAATTTTGCTCTCATTTATGATATTTCTATTTATTATAAATTATTTTTTTATTTAAAGGTAAAAGATTTAATGTTCAAAATTTGATATTCAAGTCGTTAAATTATTGTGGCCCCAAATCAATTATTCTCCTAATCCCCTAATTTACTCGTTAAAATATTCTACTAAATAATTCATTTTATTACAAAATATTTTTCATCTCACTAATATTAGTCGAAATCGGTCGCTAGATTTTACTTCATTTCATTACAATTTTTTGCTCAATTTCAATACCCCTCCTGCATCATCGAAAAGAAAATGACAATTATAAACAATATACGACTATTGTTAGGGTTGACTTTTTACTGTAGAAATGTGTGCTTGTAGGCCTGTTTGACCATAAAAATGAACTCTTTCTCATCATTATTAGCTAAAAAGATTTACATATTCTTAAAGTAGAACATGCATAGAACATTTCTGGATAATTTGGATATATGGTACTTTAGGAAAAATGTGAGAAAATGTGGTTAAAGTTCGAAGAAAATGACAGAAAAACTTTTTTGCAGGAATTGCGACTGGCGTATTTTTGAGGTCAACTTGGTCAAAACGTGCAATTCACTTCAGGCATGGGAGTCATTTCCAACATGTTTGAATCAACCCAAACCCGTGAGTCCAAGTCCAGGAAGATTTGTTGAGAGAATCTCAACCAAATTCCACATAAAATGGAGGGTAGTTCAATCAAGTTGAGGGTCTATAAAATGAAGCCACTCCCCCAGCAGCAAAGCACTCATTCTTAGTTCGTTTTCATCTAGATTTCTCTCGTTCTTAGCTATAGAGTTTGTTCGTAGGCTTTAGATTTACATTTTAGTTGTTCGTTTCTTGTATTTTCACATATTTAATTATCGTATTGCCTTAAATTCGAGTTTGTACTTTCGTTCTTCATCTATTTTATTCTTTTAGAGTTCTTAAGCGATTTTACACTCCCTTCATGCTCGAAAGAGAATAAGGTCAAGCTGGAACTCCTTGTACGCCGTTATTTTTCATTTAAATTCAAAGGAAATTACTTCTTTTTATGTTTATGTATGTTTTCTTTCCTTTAATTATGCACTAAGTTATTTATCGACCTCTTTGTGAGCCTTAGTCAAATGATTTGATTTTCGAACATGCTCGAGATTTAACCAGATTGCACTTGACGCAATCTCGAGTTGGTTTCTAAAAACTTCTCTTTACGTCTTTTTTTTCCATTTGGCCACTGGGAAATTGATCTATTCACTAAAGTCCAACTCTGAGAAGGGCGGGTTAGGTAAAATAATAGAAACCCAATATGAGATGTGACTTAGACATGAGCGCATTAAACACGGTCCTAGACATAGGCCCTCTGACTCATAAATGAAATTGAGTTGATAATCACTTTCTAGGATTGTAATCACACATAGAAATATTATTGTAAGTTACCCTAACCTTTACAGCAACCAAAAGCGGTTCGTGAAAGAGTAGAGCTCATATTCTCAAGATTTAGCCAAATAGTGGCTGGTACATTTTTCCTAAAGCGTGTATCTTCCATGTTTTCCATCAAAACTAAGGTAGGTGTTGGTATGATTTAGAACCCTTTGTGCAAGTGTACACAACCGTTGTAACAAGTGATAAAAAGATCGTATCCACATGGATGATAACTAAACACTCCAACAATAACTTAAGAGACAAACAAATTAACAAAAAAATTTTAGGTAAGAAAAACTAAAGGAACTCAAACAAAATAGTACATACATGCTCTGCTAATTAAAAACAAGGCAGAAACAAGCAAAACCAAATCGATTAAAGAAAAATATGCAAACAAGAGGTTAACTACTGATATTTAAAAGGGCAAGGGGGAAGAGTTTATGTGACTTTTTCTGGGCTGCTCTAACGATGCTGCAGCATTAACGATGTTGATATACTGACCAAACAGACACGAAA